ACCTTCAATGCAACGAAATCGGGCCTATTGGAGCACAATATCTCGCTGTAGGCCTACAACATAACACGGTTATTTCTCAATTCTATATTCATACTTCTTATATTTGCCAATATTTTCATTTCTATACAGACACTTCTTACAGTGAATCTAAGTTCGAATATAATTGGAAATGATGGAACGAAATATCTTGCCGATACCTTACTAAATAACACGGTGATCTTTATTGTCTGTTTATCAAATTCATATTCGTCAATCTCATTTTCACACAGACCCTATCTGTATTGAGTCTATCTTACAATAACATCGGAGATGTTGGGGCACAACATCTCGTAGATGCTTTACGAAATAACAAGGTGAACTGTATTCTATTGTCATTCCTCTTATGTCCACTTTCTCTTATTGAAATAGACACTCATCAAACTAGAACTTAGCGGTAATAGTGCTTACTGCGTAGCAGTTGGAGCCGCTATACAAATACGCAATGACAAAGTGGGTTAATCATCGTCATTACTTCACAATCTCTTATCAATTTTCATGTTCGTCGATAGACGCTCACTACATTAAATCTACAATCTAATCCATTGGGAGATTCTGCCATGGAATATCTCGCCGTTGCCATAGGGCTCAACAAAGTAATCCTTGTTGCATATTCATGTATCTTATATCTATTTAAATATCAAAACATAGACCATAAATGTAATAGACCTTTCTTCAGATGAAATACAAGTATCCGGCATACAATATCTAGTTGATGCTTTGAAAGATAACGAGGTGATTCATACTGTATTTTTATGGTTTTTTACATTTTGTTTCTACATTTAGTTCCTCAACACCTTACGTCTCTCTTCGAATGCTATAGGAGATATTGGCACAGAATATCTTACTGGCTGTCTACGAAATAAAACAGTAAATGTCGTTCTTGATTTGACTCTCAAAGACAGATCGCCTTCTATTTATTCAGAGACTCACTATACTAGACTTGGGAAACAATCATATTGGACAGGTTGGGGCACAACATATCGCTAATCTCTTAAGAAACAATCAGGTGAGTCTTATTCTTTCTGCATGAGCATAGTATTCATGTTTTTTCCTGTTTTCACATAGACAATCACCACTCTGTATCTTCAATAGAATGATATTGGAGATTTGGGGATAGAAATTTTAGCTGATAGTCTAAAGAATAATCAGGTGAATTTCGTTCTGTCCTAATATCTTTCAGATGTTATCTATTTTCATGTATGTAAATAGGCGCTTACCACGTTGAGCCTCAAAGACAATCAAATCGGAAAAAAAGGGGCAAAACATGTCGCTGATATGCTACAAATTAACCAGGTAATTTCCAATGTTATATTCTATCTCCCATTCTTCGTCCATTCGCTTGTTTTCTGACAGAAGCTCACGTTATTGGATCTTCAACAAAATAACATCGAAGATACTGGAGCGCAACTTCTTGCTGATGTCTTACAATGGAATAAAGTGATTCCCATGCAATGGCTATTATTCTCATATGCATTTTCTCACTTTCAACTAGACACTTCAGACGCTTGAGCTTTGTTCGAATAAAAAATGGGCCCATTGGGATACAGTATATCAGCAATGCCTTACGCCAAAACACGGTGACTTCCATTTCCTATTCATAAATCTGTAATATGTTTTCTAATGTTTTTACAGACTCTTACTATAATGAAATTTCGATGGAATCAAATCGGAGATATTGGAGCAGAATATCTCTCTGATAGCTAACAGTATAACAGAGTAATTCTCACTTTCTCTCTCTTCTCTATCATATTCATCTTCTGCCGTCAACATAGGTGCTGGCTGAAATACATTTATGGGAAAATGGCATCCGAAAGCAATTTATGGATCAGTTGAAGCAACAAGATCCTCGAATCAAATTTGAATGGTGGTGACAACTAAGTGTAGCGAAGAATTCCTTAAAAAACAATCAGTCAGTCGTTGATCGTTGAAGAAAATGAAATAAATGCTTGAAGTTTTTAAGTTCGCATTTTATGCTATTTCTGCACATATGTGTGCATCAAAAATATTGTGCTGCAAATTATGTCTGATAGACTTTGCCACAAATGCTACTCATATGAGTAGAGTCCGTCGGATAGGACCCGGACCCGAACCTGGTCGGGTCCGGGTCCAAAAATTTAATGTTTAGCGGGTCCGGGTTTGAAAATTTTCTATAAAGCGGGTCCGGGTTGGGTCCCGGTCTAAAACAATTTTTGATGGATATATTGTTCGTGTTCAATAGAACATGTTGCTTTGGTCTGAGATACAGATAAGATCGGGTCCGGTTCCGAAATTTTTTTTATAGATCGGGTACCGAGTCACAAAAAGTTCAATAAAGTAGGTCCGAGTACGGTTCCGGGTTCAAAAATGTTGCACCCGACGAGCTCTACATATGAGTATCTATACCATATATATTACAGCCTATGATGGGTGGGTGCTCAAGCAGTCAAAAATAACAAATTAACGTGTGAAAACAGCCACTTTCTGTTTTGCTTTCAACGCCTTGTACACTTAGACAAATGTCCGAATTTTTGCGTTTCAAAAATTGATATAATTTGAACTTTTCCGTAGTTAAAACGAGTGAGAAGAGAAATATTTAAACACATTAATAAAATAAATGCATTCAAACGAAAAAATTCGGACATTTGTTGAAATATACAAGGCGTTCCAAACAAACATTTTAACGCTAGTGATATGCAAACATTGTGTCGCGTTGTTGAGTTAAACGCATTAAAACTTGCAATTTCTAATATTTTTAAATGTCTGAAAATCGTTAAAAAAACATATTTTAACTGATCCCGTACACACACCATAGGCCGAACAATTAAAAGTACGTCTTCGAATTTTACTTTTTTTTAATTTCATCGTGATGTGTTGTTTTGTTTTTATATACGATAGACGATATGGATTGGTCATATATTTAATATTATAATCCTATAGTGGTCCTCTACTTATACTGAATATCTTGGATGGATGTGGGTGTGGGTTCATCAGAACTAGAATAACACCCACACCCTCCGACAAAAAAATAATGCACTAATGAAATGCAAACACTCATTATTGTATGATCAATATTTGCCTCCTATGAAATAACAGTGATATTCCAAAAAAACTGCTGCATTGCGTATTGACCAATCAGCATTCGCTTTCTCTCCGAATTTGAAACGAAGTTCGTATACTTGTTATGAACCGTGAGAAGTATGCAACGTAGTTTATATCTAAACAATAAAGAATGACCTCAAAAGCAAAATGCTGCGTGTACTGATATGAATATGAACATGATCAGGTTTTTGTGTACTCAAAAAGTGAATACACTCTAGAATCGATTAGTATGTCCGACCGGCCGTTTACACGATAATTTTCGAAAGGAGAGTCCGATCACGATGAAATTTTCTATACAGTTCAGTATTTACAATATTTCGGTCGAGTTCGAAGATGAAAAGAATCGGCCAAGTCATTCCTGGGTTATTGCAAAAATAGTCATTTTTTGCTATGTCGTTCTATGCGAAAATCGATCCCTTTCCACTTTCGTGAACAATTTTTCCTATCAAAGTCAAATAAAACCCCAACTATTATATACTATTCGATAGAGAATTTCACGAGCTACAAATTGGTATATAAAACATAAAAAAACAAGAAGGATAACTCGCATAATGCAACGATAGGGAGTTGGTGTGGGTGTTGGCGTGGGTGGTTGTGGGTGTGGCTGGGTGTCCGAGTACGGGTTGGTGTGTGGGTGAGTGTGTGGGTGTATGGGTGTGTGGTTGTGGGTGTGTGTCGATGAGGCTCTGCGTGTTGACTAGCTACAAATGTTGTCTTACATGGTAAACATATTCACACTGACACCCACACCCACACCCATCCACAACCTAAAAACATAAACATAAGATAAAAAAATTAATGATTTAGATTTGTTTTTGTTTTTAGCGATGAAAGGTTTTCTTCTATTGGCACGCCTATCTTCCATTCGTGCAATTGATTGTAACCGTCATTCAAATATTAAATCTCGGTAAACGATTGTACCTGATTAATGTAAAAGATATCTTGGGTATGGGTTTTGGGGGTGTGAATGTGGATATGAGTATGAGAATGATGGGAAGACTCACGCTCATATCTACACGCCATATATATATATATATATATATATAGGAGGAAAAAGAGAAGTGCACTCGAATGTATTTATATGAATTCTCGTGTGATAATACAAAGAAAGAATATAAATGAAATACAGATACATGGGGTCGTATCTACACAAAAAGAAGTACGATGTATAAATAATGACACCATTTGACGCTTTTGAGTGCTAGTGATAGATTCGTGCAGACTGCTATTGTGTGATCCCAGTGCCTGTATGTCTATGCTAAAATGAAAACTCAGAATCCGATTATTCCCTACCGCACTCTGATGACCTTTGAACTCATATGGTGTGATAAACTAATGAATGTTTGATGGTAAAAAATTTATTCTTAAACCCAAAGTTGGGACCAATGATTATTATATCAGATGAGAACTCAAGAAGCTCTACAAATTGAAATGATCAGAATTTAAAAAGCGATTTATCCATTTGTTGTCTTCTCTCATAAGTTGACTTCTCTACTTATTATTCTTTTTCTATTTACAACAATGACATGGCCATATTAGTGTATCATTTGTTTTTTCGTTCTCTGCCGATTCCCTCTAGACTACTGTTATCAGCTTCAAAGTTTACCAACAAGAAGGAGTAACTTAAAGTGAACACAATTAGAATTAACACATCAAAGAACTATTTCATCACCCCAAACATCCACATCCAAGATACTTTTTAGTAGTTTTCAGCAATTTATTGATACTGCGTTCCAACTCAACGGAATAGACAGACAAACAGACATCCAAAAATATATTGCAATAGATTCTTGCTTAAAGAAAATGATATAATTGCAGTACAAGACAACATCTATTGAATAACATCTTATGTACGACATCAAAAGCGAGACTTTTCAAGTGTTTTATGCAATTACAGTAACTGTTGATCGAACTAGTCGTCGCCGACACATAAAAATATATCGCCCAAATTTGACTGTGTGTGGAATAACAAGTTTAAGTGTAACAGTTAATCCACCAGTAAGGCTGATAATGGTAGTGAAAACATACACTTTATCGAATCGCATGTTGAGTGAGTAAGTACAGTAGAGTGGAGCACATGCTCTATAGTAAGACTCATAAGTAACATTTATGTCCCATTGATCGACCATAATAACATCAACTAGAGACTGAACAAGGGCATCGGATGATGATCGTGTAGAATCAAGGGCGCGAAAGATCATATCTGATATATAATCGTTTGGTTTGATCTTGTCTATGCATGTTATATTATAGAGACATTCCATAGTAGATTGTAGAAGAGATTCAATTGGATTACAACCAACTCGAAATCCGGGAACAAGCCATCCATCGATAAATGCTGGTGATGAACATGTTGAGCCAGAGCCACAGACACAGGTATTATTTGCATATGAGCGTGGCAATAGGGTAAGCTGCTCTGCGACTCCCAAAGGCATATCTACTATGAGTTCATCAACATACCAATTAGACAGTATTGATGAGATTATCCTATTACCATTTTGGATGTCTTTAACATAATCAAATCGCAGGGTGAACGCTTTACTTGTTGCAGAACGAAACTCTGTAACAGCAGAACTTATTTGTAGTTGAATAGTATGGTTGGACTCAGCTCGTTGACTAATCAATGTATTTGACATGAATGTAGATAAACCATCGGTCACTGTAATTTGAGCAATAGTGCATAAAGAGGCAAGTGTTCGGAATAGTGGCACAACAAAAGTTCGAAAGTCGTTAGAGGCATAGTTGAAACTGAACATAAACGAAGAAAAAAGTGTAAGCCATTGAACATTTGAGATGACAAAGTCACTTGAACAGATTTGATGAAAATGGGGAATGATCTGAACAAAACTATTGTACTGAATAGTAAGGTTCTGACAGGGACAATCTAGAGTAGGCAGAAAGTGCGGATTTGAATAAAGTCGATCGAAAGTTGCTTTGGTTGGATTCCTCACAGTAAAAACTCGAGACTGAATGTTGCTTGATGTGTAAATTGATACGGTGATAATACATATAGAAAGCAGAACCAAGTAAAGCCGTGTAGTAATGATTTCTATTCGACGACGTTGTTCATCATTCCAGGACAGCTTAGTCTCGAAGAGATTAAGTTGCATTGCTTGTTTTTTAAGCCAATTTGTAAGATAATGTATGCGATCATGAAAATTAAGTCGAGCTGAAACAAAATGAATTCATAGCATTTTCTGAACTAATAGCATAGTTGAATCATTATGTGTCGAACCAATGAAGTAAAATATTCGAAATATAACGCTAGATTGAAAATATGCTCTTCTATTCATGTGCCATTCGATCCGTTTTAATAGGGCTTGAAAAGAGACACTTTTTCTTTGTTCGATCTGACTAAAAGTGGCCCGAATACTATTTAGATACAATTTAGACCGGCCCGACTCCACAAAACTTCTCTTCAGCTCAATCTCGAAGAATATTTCGTTTATAATCTTTTTTCTCAATAAAATATGAAAATCTCTTCAGTAATTGAAAATAAATTTATATGAAATAAGACGAATTGCTTGTTTAGTCAAACAAACCAACAAAATATGTTGTGAGATTTTTCAATTCAATAAGAGTGTGGGTTGTGTGAGTATAGATGTTGGTGGGTGTGAATCTTGTTTTCATTAAACCACTCCAACACCGACATTTCACACTCACACCATGCACACGCACAGTAGGGAACTGTAAAATCACTTTTTTTAGTCCCGGTCCCGATCTCGGTTCCGGTCAAATATTTTGTTTTAGTCTCGGTCCCGGTCAAATTATTTTCCAGTCCCGGTCCTGGTTTCGGTCTTTGACATTGGCTTCATTCCTAAAATCAAACGACTTTTTACGATCTATGTACTTTTATGAATACATCAAATTGACATGAATTATTTTGATTCGTTAACAGTACGAGAATTCTTTTATATTCAGTGTTAAAGTAAAAGAATTTCATTGAAAACTCTAATAAATAAAAATAATCATTGAATTTTGTTAAAAATTCTCATGTACTTCGTAGTAGTCATTTACTCATTTCTCTCTTCTTTTATATCTACTGCTCAATCTAATGGACTTATTATCGAATTGATTATTTATACTGAGTCGCCATTACTATTGTCAAAAAAATAAAATAAATTGTGATACATTGCATAAAAAACAGACCGGGATCAATATGAAAAATTTTTAGTCTCGGTCCCGGGAGCACTTTGCAATTCCCTTACGCACACCCACACCCAAAATATTTTTTGATAATTTTTACTATTTAAAGCCGGTATGTAGCTTAATAAAGAGTTTTAAAAAATGATAAAAGAGTCGGATGTGGCTGACTCGCCAATGAGAATGACTCATATGACTAAAGGAAAAAATTTTTTCGAGCCGGATCTAACTATCAGTTTTAAGTCCTAATACGAAATGCAATAAAACTTCTTAATTTTAATACATTAAATAAAAGGCTATAAGTAGTGTTTGCTCCAGGTCGTTTTCTCAATCCTACTTTCGCTAAACATCTTTTTCTGAAAAAATTTATGAAATCCTTCCCAATGCAAATATGGACAGCTTACTCAGAACTTCAAGCGGAATGTTTGACTAAAGCTCGTTCTATGCGGGAAAATATGAGCAAACTTTGAAGGTTTTCGTTGTTCAGCAAAATAGAATCGTCACGAACGAGAAGGAAGATGGCTTCCTTCAAGTTCATTCGGTTGGCTTTTCTCTTTCCTGATGACTTCCCAATCATCTTGCAGTAAACACTTTCTCTAGTCTGTTTTGCATTTTTTTCAGAAGGAGAATCAGCCAAAATAGACTTTCTGCTAAAATCTTTAATTACATACCTATGCTATTATTATTTTCCACATTTGGTCGCATTTGATTGCGTATTAATCTAACAATGATTTGCACCACTATTTTGAGTGCGATAATAAGTCCACCAACCATGCTGATAATTGTGGTGAATATGTAAAGGGGTTTACCCCGCATTGTATATGTGAAGGAACATTGTAGGGGCTTACATTCATTATAGTAGCGTTCGTAGTCGATCTTCGTATTCCATTGATCAACCATGAGATCATTAATAACATTTTCCATTGTTGCATCTGAAGAAAATCGACTGCTATCAAATAACAGAATGGGTGTGTCTATTGGCAGTGCTGCCGATTCAGACAAAGTCTTAATCACGATGTTCAGGCATGATTGGTCAGAAAAACATTCGACTGATGACATACGAACGGAATTAAAGGAAGAGCATCCAATAAAAAGATTTGGAACAGAAAAAGTCTTTGTTGTCAGAATATTATAAAAATACGAATAGAACTTCATCTGATAGGCACATTCGTTACTGAATGCACATGTACAATTGTTTACGGTTCGTGGTTGTGCAGCGAACCGAAAATGATAATTGTTTTCATCAGTGATCAGTATCTGAAAGGTCATCCTGAAACAGAAAAACATTCTATGCATATAGCATGAGGAAGATTCCATGATTTCATCAAGGACTCTTAGAAAATGCACACATTTGAATATCGAATTACGATATTTCTTATCGATGGTAAATACTGAAAATGCGATACTTCAATAGCTATTGGACACTTGATGGTTCTTCAGCATAAATAAAGAGTTTCCGTAAAAGTGATCATACAAAATTATTTCCAAAGAATGAATGTTTTCCTCTTGTTTTTTTCTTCATTAAGTTCTCTGACTAACACAATTGAATGATATGACATTAAAAGGAATGCAATACTACTGAGTAAGATACTTCCGTGGAACTCACATATATTTTCGAAGAAAATATTGAGTGGAAATCTTAAGTCAAAGTTTTGCGGATCCTCATCTGTTCCAGTAGGGGCATCCTCATTACAGATCTTAGAAACTCTTTTAAATGAGAAAAAATCTCTTCGAAATTCAAAAATAAAGATGACGGATTCTTTCTGCAGCGATCGAGAGTCTTCGCAAACAATCATAACATAGGGAAGATTTCTTACTTTAAGTATTTTGTATTCGTTTGACTAGGATATAGAATTTATATGCGTTCCACATTTTATGCCCAAAGAGAATGTGCTAATAATTTTTTTTTTCTTTTTTTACTCGAGATATACGATGCATATTTTTTACCTGATGAAAACAAAGAAAACTTCATAGTTGCTGCAATGACTTCTCCGATTCGGTAAAAACGTTCTACACATTAGTTTTCCACTCAGAACACTATGTTGTTTTTATGTGAAACGCTTTTTCTCTACAAACTAGTAATTTAACTTGAGAATAAAAGGGATGGGTAACTGCAATCTTCAATTGTTAGTTCAAAACCAAATATTATACTCGATTCTGCAAAGTATAAATCATGACAAAAATGCTAGGAATCTTCAGAGAAAGCCCCACAGCATATGCAAATTTTCTGTGCATGACACTACGAGTCTATTAGACACTTGGTAAAATTTATCTGATTGCTCGTCCTACACATCGTGACTAGATGTGCACTGATTCCAATTGCAGTCGATTCCTGTCAATTTTAAGTCTAGAAGTGAAATTAGAACCGGTCAGAATTGCAATTTGTGCAGTCCTAATCATGACATATATCGTTGAAAGAGTTCCGATGTCTAAATTATCAACGTGTCGAGCATGCTTAGCACCAAAACACTGACTACTATTGAAACACTAGAGAAATGCATAGCAAATATTATACACAATGAACTTGATAACCTATCGTATTGCTGCAGTAGAATTGTCTTTAGAAAATTAAATATACTTTTTTGCTTAATCTGAAACCAAAAATCAAGGCTTCACATACTCATGTATTTATTGAAGTTTATGTTGAAAATCGAATCAGGTAATCACTTAGTTTTCCTTCCGAATTCTATTCCTTTTATATGACGATGATCTTATGAATTATTAGAGAAGAATATAGATGTGTTTTAAATAGTCACTCATTTTTGAAGTATTCACAGCAGGCATAAGTTTTAAACGTTTTCTTGAGAGAAAAACGTCCTTCGACTCTATGACGTTTCGTTTTCGATGAACATAATGATTTCTATCTATGTAGTTGCAATAAAATGTTAAAAAATTAAACCAAAGCCACATTTCTAATTTGTCTAAAGCTTTTCTTTTACTTAATCAAGAAAAATCAAGCATTATATCTTGTATGAAAATCACTTTCACTTTCTTTCTTAAAAGAAAGAGGAGCTAGAATTATTGTTTTAAAAAAAAGAGAGAAAATTTAAGATGAATAATTTGATTTTTGCTTTTCATGTTCAAAAAGAAAGAATTATATCTTTTATTTAGTGTTCTAGCTAGAAAAAAGTTGACGAAGTCAAAAAAACGGAAAGAACGTTGAAATATTTATTTTTGTTTTTAAACAAAATGGCATAGTTCGAGTGAGCATTTAATTCGGAGTAAAACCAGGTAGCTTGCATCCGTCGAAAAAGTTTTTCCATTTCACCTATTATTGTGAAACCTGGAGGGGATGTGAGATCATCCAAAAAAATAATTTTGTTTTATTCTATGAAATGATAGTTCATTAAATGTAGAATTTATTGGTGATTCTAGATGATTGTCTTTTTTTCAAAAAATAAATAATTCAGCTTTTGTTTTCCTTCTTTTGACTTTGTTTTGACTTCTATAATTTTTCTCTTTTTAGAATATCATCAAAAGAGCTAGTTTTTCTTTTCGATTACGAAAAGCAAGAAGATAAGACTTTCTTCACTTTTCTTTCCTTTTAGAAAATAAACAGACGATGACAATGACACCCTAATATTTTGCATTCTGTTAAAAACAATTCACAACGCACGCACTTTTCCCCGAAAGCTTCAATAGGCTTGTCTATTACATTAAGCGAAAGTTCTAAGCTTCACATCTTTGAACGTGATCTAATTAATGAGAAAATCTTCTACTACAGCAACACTTTTTCTCAAAGACTATTAGCATGCTTCAATTGTTAATAACGAGTGAATACCCTTGTACATTAATTAGAATTGTCAGCAGGAATAATGAGACAGTTACCATTAAGTAAAGTGGATGATGATTTTCAAGATTGAATGATTATTTCTGAGCAGTACACATTACAATCAATCTCAGGAGTAATGAAATTTACGTTTAACTGCAGCAAATATCGAAATTCTATACCACAATAATTACTTACACGATATTACCAATCGTTGGAATGAACGAGTTTTGTGTTTGCATATCAATGATGGAGAGACTACGTTTAAATTCCGCTACTGTACTCGTTTGAAATTTATTGATAACGGCATCCGTATTCAATAATAAATATTTTAACGGCAATGATTCTTCATTAATCAACATAGAGTGACTGACAAAGTTCCATGTATTGGTAATAGTCGTGTTAGCCAGAGCACACAAAGTGGCCAGGGTTTTAAAGAAGCTGGGAGCGCCGATTCGAAAATCATCTTCCAAATACCATGCAGCATCATATGTATTTGATAGATACTGTATCCATTCTTGCGATACTAGCCAGCTCATACAAACTGGATGTAATCTGGGTGAGATGGAGACGAACGAATCATATTGGATTGTGATCTTACTGCATGGGCAATGCAGTGTACTAGGATACTTGGAATGCAACATACCGAAGGTCGCCTCTGATGGATTCATAATAGTTGCAGCGTACAGCCGAAGGCTAATTGAAGTGTAGAAAACAATGATAATTATTGAGATGCCTAGACATATGAGAAAAACACGGGTTGTCATTCGTGCAGTCGCTAGTTCAAAAGGGTCTCTGCTTGTTTCTGCAGTTTCGAAGAGATTAAATTCGACTATGAGAGTCTTGATTTGTCCCCACTGAGCTCGAAAGCGTTCTCGTATAGAGATTCCTGCAAATGAAAGAAAGTTATTTCTATATTTGATACATCAAGTTTACTTGTTGAAGATTTTGGTAGATTATATAATAGATTATACAACCATTTGGCAATATGGAATACATATAGGCGTAGAACGATACTAAAACCACCAAAGAGACCCAAAATAGCCGTCACAACAAGAAAAACATTACCGGTTTGAGTGTATGTGTATGTGCATAGGATGGGGGCACACTCTGAATAGTAATTAGAGAAAGAAGTGAATGCAGACCAATCATTTATAAATAATTCATTCACAAGTGTTTCAATGGTTGTATTAGGCAAAAATTTTGTTTCATTGATTTTGAGTACATCTATATTAGTCATATTGGTGCTTGTGAAAACGACGAACATCGATTGTACACATGTCGGATCAAATAAACATTCGAGTGTAGATTGAAGAAGGCCTTCAATTGGATAGCATCCCACACGAAATCCAATTGGATTCCTATACGAAACGTTCTACAACTTATGAAAAATCCATCTCCAATCCAATAGCTTCGAAATTTGTTCAACACTTAATTTTAATTAAATGAAACTCTATTACTAATTAGTCATGTACAGTCCTCTTTTTCAGTCTAATCTAGAATGCAAATGATATCGAGTTTTATGAATCCTCTCTATTCAGTAGGAAAAAGATAGGTTTGGCAAGCATTGATTTGGATGATCCGATGAGAATAGAAAGCCCTTCTATGACAGATAATAATCGATCGTGTACATGGCCCAAATGATATACTAAAGTAATTATTTAAAAGAAGGAATAATTTTATGCTTTGTTAATGATCAGCGAGCAACACCACTGTTCATATGGCAAAGCAAACTTTACTTCATTTTTACACTTACTAGAGATATACACTCTAAGTTAAAATGTATTGACCTTTTTCATCGTGAATTACAGTGTCGTAGATTCACGCAAGAAAGTGTGTCGTATTTTTAACCGCTCTGTACATAAATAACGATTGTTCATTCACCATTATTATTTCGCGTTCATATCTTTATATAATCGATCTGAATCGTCACATGAAAATCACAAGTGTTCGTACACCATTTTATTTAATATATTTCTCGATTACATATACCCCGGGAAAAAATAGTTGGACTCTGTATTTTGAATATATTTTCATAATAAGACTACACTTTTTTAAAAGTAATTATATGTTCTGATAGAACTTGGCATTCTCTATCACCCTGTATCTTGACTTATTTTCTTATATTCGTTTGTTTAGAAGAAAATTTGACTTTAATTAATACACCGTCAATCAACAAGTACCAAAAATGTACATTTTTCTGGCTGTTTTTTTTTAAATGTTATCCTCAAAGAAATAAATGATAGAAAAGAACTTAAATCATTCGATAGCGCTTGAGATTCTCAATCATTCTATAAATTCTTATATTGTTTTTGAATTCATTTTCTATTATTTAATAAAGGACGACCACGTCCTTCGCGTTCGATAATATTATTTGTTTCGTGAAATAATTGTAAAATATTGAAAACAGTTATACGTGAACAATTAATAATATAAGCTATTTGATTCGGAGTCATACCTTGATTAAAGCGTAACGAAATAATTCGCCATCGATCATCAACAGATAAATGGCCACTCATTACTAATGATCTGACTGTTCCAATGAATAGAAAGTGAAAGACAAACAATATGAGAGGCAGAGTGACAACAACTAGTATATATAGTATTGAAAACGGAACATTCCAGAACATTAGGAAGAGATATAGAGAACCCGAGAAAGTTTTAGAATGTACACGAAACATCAGACAATGAACAGGCACGTAGATAGTCACATGAATGAGTGCATGGGCAGAAACGTGACCGTTTACATGATACATAGAATGATTGAGAATATCAAGCGCTATCGAATTATATAAGTTCTTTTCTATAATTTATTTCTTTGAGGATAACATTTAAAAAAAACAGCCAGAAAAATGCACATTTTTGGTACTTGTTGATTCGACGGTGTATTCATTAAAGCCGAATTTTCTTCTAAACAAACGAATATAAGAAAATAAGCCAAGATGCAGGGTGATAGAGAATTTCAAGTTCTATCAGAATATATAATTATTTTTCTCAAAAGATGACTCTATAGGTAAGAAAAATTTTCAGAACTAATTTTTACGACAGTGTCGAGATCAAGTCTATGAGAATCTGGACATGAGGGTGTCTTCATAATACTCAATTTATTTTTGTAATATATAAGTGCAAACAAAAACTAATTGTACGGGGTGACAGAAAACTCCACGGGCTTTCAGAATATAAAATTACTTTTTAAAAAGTGTAGTCTGATCATGAAAATATATTTGAAAACACAGAGTCCAACTTTTTTTTCGGGGGGGGGGGGGGGGGGGGGGGGGGGGGGGTTTTTTTTTTTTTTTATTAGAAAAAACGCGTCTTACTGGAGGGCTGACCCGGAGGCGGGTGATCAACAGAAGGATGGTATTCCTTTGATTG